GTAGTAGCAGACGCCCTGCTCGGAGGCCTTCCCCACGCCCTGAACCCCCCCCCCTTCTTCAGCTCACTTCCTATTATTACCCGGGCCCTGTTACGGTTGCTAGTGGGTTCAGACCCGGTCAGACACTTGGCCCGCTTCTTGGGACGCTACTCGTTTGAACTTTCCAGCATGCCTGCATCCCTGGTGCCGGTAAGCACAGGGATGGGAGCGACGGACTTCCCCGATTTCGCACCCCTCGGTCATGTTTCTCTGCTATGAGTCGGGCTGCGCCTTCTTGCAGATGGAGACTGGAGATATTACTGTTTATTACTTTGCTTTGCTCTGTTATGTTATTGTTCCTGATTTGTTATGTTTACCCGCAGATGACAGCGAGCTCCCTCCGGTGTTCCCGTGGGGCCCGCTGGCTGAGATTTCGCCCCGCTTCCCTTTTTGGGGCGAGGTGGGGGTTAAATGGACCGCAGGGGGAGGCCCCCCCCCCCCCCGCTGAAATGTAAGTACAATGTTTACCCGCCATGCGTGGGATGTTTTGTGGGAATGTATGGGACAACCTGAACACCTTCTACGGCTGTTAGCTCCCGGAGCGCTATCCCTATATCTAGGGTGACTGGTGGATTGACAATGCATGCATGCATATGTAGGGATAATATGCACTGAATCTCATGCCCAGGGGAACATCTCCTGGTGGAAGTTCGGTTTCTTGTTATTTTCTTTTTGCTACCTTAACTGGTACCCACCCCCACATAGGTTTACCCCGTAGACATTGACACGGGGTCTTTCATTTGAAATTTAGATTTGCTTGACTAGTATTGTGATATATTTTACGTGCACTGTGTCTCGTTCCTCTCTACTCCTCCTCTGTCCCCATTCTGGTTTCCTCCCCCCCCTCTTTTTCTTTCTTTGCCCCCCTTACCCTTGCTCTCCTCCCCCTCCCCGTTATCCCTTCCGACAGGGGTCCTGAGTCGGCGTCCTTCGGCTGGTATCATGGGACCCTTTCAGGTGACCTCTCTGAATGCCCGTGGGCTTAACATTCCAGAAAAGAGATCCAGACTATTGGCAGATCTCAGACGATCACGTACCCAGGTGGCGTTTCTGCAGGAAACTCACTTCCGGAGTGATCAGATCCCCAGACTCCTCAACAGGGATTTTCCATGGTCCTACCACTGCCCCTCGCCCCTGACTAAATCTAGGAAACTCACTTCCGGAGTGATCAGATCCCCCAGACTCCTCAACAGGGATTTTCCATGGTCCTACCACTGCCCCTCGCCCCTGACTAAATCTAAGGGGGTTAGCATACTATTATCCAGGGACGTCCCATGGACCTTTGGGAACCAACTGATAGATGTTAATGGGCGTTTCCTTCTCCTAAAAAGGGAAAGTTGGGGACATCCAGGTTACAAAGTACATTTTGGGAACCAACTGATAGATGTTAATGGGCGTTTCCTTCTCCTAAAAGGGAAAGTTGGGGACATCCAGGTTACATTCGCAAACGTGTACTTTCCTAATACGGATCATCTGGGTTTTATGCAGGACTTGACACCTCGACTCCTGGAATTCATGGAGGGGGTGCTGATTCTGGGAGGGGACCTCAATTTCCCAATGGACCCACTATGGGACGTCTCCACAGGTGCATCCCACCTGTCATACAGGTATCTGAGGAACCTGAAGTCAGAATTACACCTCCTCCATCTAGTTAATGCCTGGAGATTTTGTCACCCCAGGGGGAAAGATTTCACGTACTTCTCTGCTCCCCACCAAAGATATTCCCGGCTAGATTATCTATTTGTACAGCACAAAGACCTCCCCCTGGTGAAGGGAGCGTCCATAGACATCATACTGCTGTCGGATCATGCCCCCATACACCTGACTCTGGACTTACTGACGCCAAGATCCCCCTGCCCCTCATGGAGACTTAATGAGTCACTTTTACAGGACCCTGTGGTCAAATCTGAACTGGGTGTTGAGCTGCGGGCCTTTTTCGCCTCCAACGCCCCCTCCTCGGCTCCTCCGTTTATGATTTGGGAATCCCATAAATGTGTAATAAGAGGGATCTTTATCAAACATGGGGCGCGGAAGAAGAGGGAATTGTCCTCCCGGATTGCGTTTCTCTTGCATCGTCTTCGGGTGCTAGAGACCCAACACAAGCGTTCCCAGGCGGTGGCGTTGGGGGGGGAACTGACTGCAGTTCGAACCGAATTGAACACTCTGATCTTTCAGAGGGTCAAGACTAGATTGCTCAGGGGCAGGAGGACTTTTTACGAGTATGGAGACAAACCGGGGCGACTGTTAGCTAACGCTCTCAGGGGCTCCCATGGGCAGACACATATCTCACACGTGGTCACCTCCTCGGGTCGCAGGGCAGTGCTGTCCGCATTGGGAGGTACGCCATATCCAGTCCTTGGGGACGTTGATCCCCAGGGACCTGGGAGATGTCTACTCTGCCAACTTCCTCCCATTGTTAAAGAAAATAGCCTCGGACTTTAAAGCCTGGCGCCCCCTCTATGTCTCCTGGCTGGGACGTTGTGCCGCAGTGAAAATGAACATACTGCCGAGGGTTTTATACCTCATGCAGGCGCTCCCAATCAGCATACCGGCCCAATTTTTCAAAACTCTACATGGGGAGATGATATCATTTATCTGGGGGGGTAAGACCCCCAGGTTGAGCAGACGCATCCTATCACTGCCCAGAACCAGAGGGGGAGTGGGGCTTCCGGACATGACAATGTACTACACGGCAATACATTTCTCCAGGCTCCTTGAATGGTGTATCTGCAAGGAGGGTAGCTATGGAGCGGAGCGTATATATGTTCCCCATAGAGGGTCTTCCATGGCTCTCCTCTACCATACCGCAGGAAGTTCAATCTCACCCGCTGGTTCACGCGACTCTGAGGGTAACTCGGAAGGTGCTTGGGGCATCCACTCTGTCACCTTTCCCGTCACCTCTGACGCCGGTCCTTGGGGACCCTGATTTCTCATTAGGGGGCGATAATAGTAGACTGCGCCGGGTCCTCCTGCACGCCTCCAAATTCCGTCTTCGAGACTTCAGGGGACCGGGGGGCTGGCTGCAGACGTCTGACATACAATCTCTCACAGACCCCCCTGTGGACTATTGGAGCGCCCTCTCACTGCGACACTTCCTCCGGGCGATACCTAATGCGTCCCTTCTGGACAGACCCCTGACGGAGTTCGAACAGCTGTGCCTAGCCAAGCTCCCTCCCCGACACGCAATCTCCCAACTGTACAGGTTACTGCAGGCTGCCACCGGGGACGTACCGTTGCATTTTCTGCATGGCTGGGAATCGGAGCTACAATGTACTTTTTCGGAGCAACAAAGAGACACTATCCTAACGTTGACATTTAAAGCTTCGCTAGCGAATCGGCATCAAGAGTCGGGATATAAGATTCTGACACGATGGTATAGTGCCATGGTTGCTCCATAAAATGAATAGCACGATTCCAGACGAGTGCTGGAGATGCAAGGGGGCTCAGGGTACGGTGCTACACATCTTTTGGTCCTGTCCCGTGTTGCGGACCTTCTGGGGGCGGGTGCTGGAGCTGGTTGAGACTTTGACAGGTGCGGACCTCCGGGATGACCCTGCAGCATGCCTACTTCATTTGACTAAACACCCGATTCGCAGATATAAACGCTCTTTGACTCATCATCTGCTGAACGCAGCTCGGGCATGCATCCCTTTGAAATGGAAGGACCCCTGTCCAGATGTGGCTCGCCAAAGTACACAACACATACCTGCTTGAGGACCTAACTGCCTCGCTGAAAAACACTGAAGCCCGTTTTAATGCCACCTGGGGGCCGTGGCTATGCTACAGCGTGTCTGCCCAAGGCCTGGATCAACCTGGCACGCTGACACAAGCAGGTCACCCTCCCCCGGGCTGCCATGAGGTCATCAAGGGTGGTTCAGATGGGAATAATCCCAATATGACTAAGGACACCAGCTGACAATTCGGACCCCGGCTGGGACCCGCTTCACATTTCACCCTCTCTATTTCCTTTCTTTTCCCCTTTCTCCCCTTGTTCCTGAGACACGGTCCGATTTGGAGCATAGTACCTAATCACTGAGCTCTACTGTACAGAATAGTTTTGCCGAATCAAACTCTTGCTGTGTTAACTAATGTACTGGGATGCTCTTTGTTATATCCAACATGACTCTCTTAGTAGCGAGATGTTAGCGTTGTTACGATGTGGACTGTTTTTTTTCCACTCTGTCATGTTGTATTCCTGTAACTGTTTCTGTACTGCACATTATGTATGGGTTATACTTGACGTTCTTCCAGTCAATAAAGAATTTGAAAAAAAAAAAAGAAAGTGTCTGCCTTGTGTCCAGGTTCATAGAATGGCCAATGTAAGCTTAGCATGAACATAAACCTATTATTTTATCAGAGTTTAAACTGAATAACGTAATAACGTAGGCTTAAAACTGCAATGAATCAGGCCAGGCTTCTTTTTTCTTTATCTTGGCATTTTGAAGAGAATGTGTCTGATCACAGTTTTTGGAAGATCTATGAGAAGAGACTGAGAAACACTGGCCAAATATAGGGGTATATTTAAAAAGCAGTGACCATGACATGTACCAACATTCACTGCATGTGACTCTTGCTGGCGCATGCATTACATTAGTGAGTTTTTCACCTGCAGTGAATGTCACATTCCATGCTTAATAAAACTATGCACAGTACTCACATCAGATTTCACATTGCACAAGCATACAGCAATAGGAAAGAAAAAGCTGAAAGGTAAACAAATACTCCAAACCCTGAGACCAATGAATAAAAAAAAAAGCTTTTACCATAACTTAGCACATGGAGGTTTCTGCTACGATGCAATGTCCTGTTCATGAACATTAGCCATAAATTTTATTTTATGTAAAAAGTATTTACAATAGAAATAATGAAAATTGCTTCCAGTGTCCATTTCTGATCCATTCCGTGTCCCTGTGATTCTTAGCTGAATGGTATGGTCCAGTTGTGACTAATGTCGAGCTGAATCTAGCTTTGAAATCACGTTATTAAAGGCAAGAATTGTCCATAAGTTGTGCCGTCCTTCTGAAAAGCCTCCCGTCAGAACATGAACCTGAAATCAAATAAAAAAACATAATAAGTAACAATACTCAACTGGCTAATTACACAAACTACAGCCAATGCTCTTAAAGAAGAACTCCAGGCAAATTAAAGCCTAACCCTTGGGGTTCCCTAAGAAGTGCTTATTTGATCTTCGGAGCCAACATAACAGATATGCTTGCCCGAAACATGAACACGGCTAGTTCCTAGACTGGTCCTTTCAGCCTCACTCTCCCACTGCTCCCACTTAGGTCCTGTGAGTCATCATGTCCAATACATTGTATTGGGCGTGTGAAACGCCAAGGGACATACCATTGCTGGAGCAGAGGGAAAAGGCTGCGGGGACTGGTCTAGGAGCCAGGCAGGATCAAGGTTCGGGTGAGTATAACTTATTCTAGCTCATTAGATAAAGGGGCACGTAACCCTTGCAGTGCAAGCCCCACTCCAAGGATTAAAATTTCATTTGCCCAAAGTTCTTTTTTAATGCTGTTCATTGCAAACAGAATCAGTCTGTTAAGCTGGCTACATAGCAGTAGAACTTCAATAGAAAAACATTTTTGTACTGAACATTCGTTTGATTTCCTAACAGTTATTGGGTCAAATCGACTGTTTTCAAACATAGGGATGGGGGAAAAAAATTAAAAAAAAAAGGAGCAGGACAGAAAAATTCTAACAGTGAATGTGGTTTTATTTGAGAAATCCAAAAATTGAATGTTAAAGTAAAAAGAAATTAAATAAAATTTCGAATATTCCATAAGTCTCTAATAATTATCAAATGTGCTGATGAGATATTTTCTGAATAGTCTTACAAACCATACAATTTTTTTGGCCAGCTTAAGTCTTTCAATAGATTAAAGCATCTATTACTTGGTTTAAAAGACCAACATCAATGCATCTCCTTTTCCTAGTTTTTACACAAAGTAAAATGATTTCAGTCGATTAACCCCTCCCCGACCAATGACGGGATTATACAGTCACGATCGTACAGTTAACTAATGGCCGGTGGTGGGATAATCCCATCATGCGGTACGAGCGCTGGTCCGTGGAGGGACCAGCATTAATCAAGTTACTGCTGTTGATGGGTCCATCGGTGTTTGAAGCAGACCCTCAACATATTAGGTGGTCACAGCACTATGATTTCACTGGCACACACAAATTTTAAGGCTTGACATGTTTGGTATCAATTTAACTGGCGTTACCCTGTCTTATCAAAAAAAATTGGGTATTCTATTCAGTTCCTGTGCACTAAATTTCATTTTAGTGTAATATATCCTAAAAATACTGGTTTGATAAACATTTGCGCAAATACTGTGCAACATAAAAAATTTAAACTAGCATTTTTTCGTTCTACAGGGCCTCTGCTTTCAGAAAATATATTATTGTTTGGAGGTGGTTGTTGTTGTTGTCTAGGCAAAAATTCAGATGTTATCATGTGTGCACAAATAGTAAGAAATTGGACAGCAAGTGGTTAAAAACAATTAGGTTAATTTATGTGCATTTAGACATATGCCCCTTTACTCCAGTAGTGTCAAACCTGCATTCATATACATTTAGAGTATAAGACATCAAATTAAACCTGAACTCCAGCTAACACTTTTAAAGCAGTTAGAGCAACTAGGCATTCTCCGATTGGACAAGGAGCGGTACTACAGTATTACAGCATCCCCATAGCCCTGCCAAGGATCACATTAAATATATTTTTTTCTCTTTTTAAGGCAGGAGTTCTACTTTAAAGGAAATCCTTTTACCAGACCTGTATGCATCACCACAGACAGCTGTGAAAAGATTTATCTCAGCCCATGGATTCAAGACCCTTACCTTTAATTAAGCTTTCGGATAAGATCGTTAATGGCATCTCCTCTATGTCCAGGATCGCCCACCTCAGTCAGATAGCCCTTCCTATTAATGCCTGCATGCCTTGCAATAGACAGGTGGAAGGGGCATAGGAACCTATTGACGTCTATAAAGTGTTCTCCAACAGAGTACAGTTCATGAATCACATCTTCCAAGCAGATGATCCCAAACTTTCCTGCAAAGAGACAGACAAGCAAGATTAAGGAAAAGTAAATGAAGACTTAGGATATATATATATATATAATTAAAACAGTTAGAAAAATATATATATTATACTATTATATACACACACACACACACAGTATCTCACAGAAGTGAGTACACCCCTCACATTTTTGTAAATATTTTATTATATCATTTTATGTGACGACACTGAAGAAATGACACTTTGCTACAATGTAAAGTAGTGAGTGTACAGCTTGTGTCAGAGGACCTGGAAAAAAAAAATTGTTGCTCTACATAAAGATGGTCTAGGCTATAAGAAGATTGCCAAGCCCTGAAACTGAGCTGCAGCACGGTGGCCAAGACCATACAGCGGTTTAACAGGACAGGTTCCGCTCAGAACAGGCCTCGCCATGGTCGACCAAAGAAGGTGAGTGCACGTGCTCAGCGTCATATCCAGAGGTTGTCTTTGGGAAATAGACGTAAGAGTGCTGCCAGCATTGCTGCAGAGATTGAAGGGGGGGGGTCAGCCTGTCAGTGCTCAGACCAAACGCCGCACACTGCATCAAATTGGTCTGCATGACTGTCGTCCCAGAAGGAAGCCTCTTCTAAAGATGATGCACAAGAAAGCCAGCAAACAGTTTGCTGAAGACAAGCAGACTAAGGACATGGATTACTGGAACCATGTCCTGTGGTCTGAAGAGACCAAAGATAAACTTATTTTGGTTCAGATGGTGTCAAGCGTGTGTGGCGGCAACCAGGTGAGGAGTACAAAGACAAGTGTGTCTTGCCTACAGTCAAGCATAGTGGTGGGAGTGTCATGGTCTGGGGCTGCATGAGTGCTGCAGGCACTGGGGAGCTACAGTTCATTGAGGGAACCATGAATGCCAACATGTACTGTGACATACTGAAGCAGAGCATGATCCCGACTTCTGAGCACTGTGCGCTGACGCCGCTCTGTCATTTTATGTGGCCTACCACTTCGTGGCTGAGTTGCTGTTCCCAGTTGCTTCCACTGTTATAATACCACTAACAGGTGTCTGTGGAATATTTAGTAGCAAGGAAATTTCACGGATGGACTTATTGCACAGGTACCACGCTTGAATTCACTGAGCTCCTGAGAGTGACCCATTCTTCCACAAATGTTGGAGAAGCGTCTGCATGCCGAGCTGCTTGATTGTATACACCTGTGGCCATGGAGGTGATTGGAACATCTGAATCCAATTATTTGGAGGAGTGTCCCAATACTTTTGGCAATATAGTGTATATTTAAATAAAAGCCTGCATGCCCAGAGTTCAGCTTTAAAACCAAAAGGTGTACTACCTGGTATTAGATAAGGGTCCCTACCATGTCTACATGTGTACATACATGACCAAACCCCCTGACATCGAACTCTACACTTTATAAACAGCAAAAAATGAAGAAGCTGAATTATTACTGAGCAGCTACACAGACAGCCACTGTTTTTTTTCCATCACACAAGTTGTTACATAAGGCTCATTACCTAGCTGCTCCTCTATCATAATATTGTCGGTAAGGGCAACCTTTTTGCCATCTACTTTCCCTTGACCACGTTTCATGATGAGCTCACGCACAGACTTCAGGTTTGGAAAACTGCAAAAAAGAATGAAATGTTTAAATCCAGGAAGATCATCAATAACTGAAATGGCTTCAAACACACAAGCATGGCCAAAATGAGCAAACCTTTCTCAACCAATTTTCATGTTGGAAGACCCTTGAAATTTCTGATCTGCAGCTGAAGGTATGTAGTAAATTATTGCCAAGTGGCAACATTACCAATACATACCAAAAACTAGAGGTGGACCAAAATGACATTTTGAAACCGAACATAAAAATAAATTCTCAAGCCGAAACCAAATATTTTTTTGTTTCTAATCTTTTTAATTTAAGTATTTTTATTCTAAACATTTATTTTTTTTAATAAATATTTAAATTCTGTAACTTTACTGTTGGGGGCTGTAAGAAATATCAGGGGTCTAAACATAGATCCCCGGTATTTCCCTTTTAAAATAGAAAAAAAGAGTGAGGACTCTGTGTCCTCACTCTTGTTCTGCAGCCCGTTATAAATGAACAGGAAGCCTCTATACTGAGTGTTCCTGTTCAATTATAACCTGTGGAGCTAGTATGTTTACTATAGCCACAATCATGATTGAACAGGAAGTGATGTAGAGCACTTCCTGTTCATAATTGGGGACAGAGTACCCAATTTGCCGGCGTATAAGGCGACTGGGCGTATAAGACGACCCCCTATTTTTTCTGTTACAACATAGGTTTTGGGCTATACTCGTCGTATAAGACGAGTATAGCCCAAAATAATGTTTAAATACACCCACTAACCTCCTTGGCGGTATTCCCGAGTGTGGCTCGGGGTTCATTTTCAGTACCATAAGCGGTAACCCCGAGCCATACTCGGGATTACAGCGTAGCGTCTCTTACCTTGCCCACGATCCCCGCTGTGTCCTCCGTCCCTTGCGAGCGCCTGAGTCACAGGGGGGCGGAACCGGCGGGAATTTTAAAAGTAAAAAAAAAAAACACACAACAACAACAAAAAGGAAAAAAATTAAATAATCAGACCGCCAGGAAGGCTAATCTGTCAGCCAGCTGGATGTGCGGTAATACTGTATGTACGGTAGCTTCGGCCACACACAGTATACTGCGCTGAGCCAATCACGGCGAGCGATGAATACAATGAATACAAAGCCTGCACGGATTGGCAGAGGTTGTGTACAACCTCCACAGGGATCAGTCTGAATATTAAAAGGAGAACTATGGGGTCAGTGTTTTTCCCCATAGTTCTCCTTAGGGTAACGGGAGGACACAAACTAGCATCCTCCCGTTACCCTAAGCTCAGTATACCGCGAGCTACAGCTCGCGGTATACTGAGACGCCGCACCTGGAGCGGATCCCGACGTAGATGACGGGATCCGCCCAGCTGCGTGAGTGACAGCTGGCTCTGCCTATCTAGAGGCAGAGCCAGCTGTACCCGCCCCCTCCCCCGTCCGTTCCGCCAATCAGCGCTGGCAGATCGGAGCGGGGAGAGGGGAATCCAGCCCCTCCCCCTGTCACGGCAGAGAGCCGTGACAGGATCGAGAGGTGAGGGAAACAGGTATGTGTTCCCTCACCTCCCGATCTACTGAGCCTACCTGTGACAGTCTCATTGTCACAGGTCGGCTTAGAACTATGAGGTGAGTGAAAATCACTCATGTCATAGTTCTCCTTTAACAAACCTTGCAGGCACCCCTAAAGCACCCACACTTAATCACTGTTACATAGCTAGGTCTGGTTCAGTCTATTTTAGGTGTGACTTGTTTAAAATCCAAGTCCTCTTTTAAAAAGGTGCCCATACACCTTACGATTATCGGACAAAACGTTTCGCCCGATGATCGAACAGTCGTACGACGGCCCCATCCTGCCCCGATTATCGAAAGGTTCAATCAGCGGTAGTTACGACTTGCGGTAATTGACCGCAATTATTTTCGTTTGCGCATGCGCAGTGTTACTCGTACGACTTTTGACGGACGGAAACACCACTAACCATGCGAACATCGTACGATCGACCAAAGTTTTCAAACATGCTTGACCGTCAAAAGTCGTACGATTGTACAGTACTATCGGTCGGGCACTCTATTGACACGTTATGATTGTCGCACGAAAAGTCGATCGCATACGATTATCGTAAGGTGTATGGGCACCTTTAGTTTACTTGCATTTCATTGGCTCCAACACCCTCCCTTATCACTCCTGATAAACTACACACTTATCTGTCACTGCTTTGTTGTGCTCCCTTTCTCAGCACCACACAGTCTATTCTGCAAACTCTTTACTGTTGGGTACTTCTCCCCTCATGCATATGCAATATCATTTCTATTTATTCCAATAGAAAGTCTTTTGGAATAGAAATCTCCAGAATGCAAGGACAGGCAAGTGTCTGTGGCTTGTAAGTGGTGATGGAAGGCATCAGAGCCTTTGAACTGACATATATTAACACTAGAAGCAAATAAAATTTTAAAAAATGGTAACATTTGCCAACCCAGGTGAAAGCCGATTGCTTACTAAAGGCAGAGAAGATACATTGCCGAAATTGTATAAATAGGCAAACAAATGTTTAAGTTATCAATAAACTACAATCCAGGTAGCGATTACTTACCCCCATGCAACGTATGGCTCAATAAACTGCAGCTTCTTTATAGCTTCTGACGTTAGCTTTATAAACACACCAGCAAAAATTTTACCTAGGCGGAACATCTTCACAATGTGCATCACTTGTGAGCTCACCCCTTCAATGCTGCAAGGAGAGTAAAACATATACATGGGAATTATAGATATAGATATTCAGAAAGCATTCAGACCCCCTTCGCTTTTTTCAATTTTGTTTTTGTTGCAGCCTGATACTACAGTTGTTTAAATATTTTTTTTCCTCATCAATCTACACTCAGTACCCATAATGACCAGGTAAAAAGAGAATTTTAGAAAGGTCTGGGAATTAAAAGAAAAAAAAAACCTGAAATATCACATTGGCACAAGTATTCAGACCCTTTGCAACAACACTTGCACTTTAGCTCAGGTGCCTTCCATTTCTTTGGATCGTTGCCGAGATGTTTCTACACCTTGATTGGAGTCCACCTGTGCTAAATTAAATTGAATGGATATGATTTGGAAAGGCGCACACCTCTCTATAGAAGGCCTCACAGCTGACAGTGCATACTGTATCAGAGCAAAAGCCATAAAAAGGTCAAAGGAACTGCCTGCAGAGCTCAGAGACAAGATTATTGCAAGGCACAGATCTGGGGAGGGCCACAAAAACATTTCTGCTGCACTGAAGGATCCCAAGAGCACAGTGGCCTCCATAATTCTCAAATGGAAGACGTTTGGCACAACCAGGATTCTTCCAAGAGCTGATTTCCCACCAAACTGAGCAGTCGGGGCAGAGGGGCCTTAGTAGGAGAGGTAACCAGGAACCCTGACTGAGCTCCAGAGATCCCATGTGGAGATGAGACAAAGTTCCAGAAGGATAACCATCACTGCAGCCCTCCACCAATCTGGCCTTTATGGCAGAGTGGCTAGACGGCAGCCTCTCCTCAGTGCAAAATACATGAGTCTGCTTGGAGTTTGCAAAAAAAAAAAGCACCTGAAGGACTCTCAGACTAGAGTCTGGGGAACAAGATTCTCTGGTCTGATAAAACCAAGATTGAACATGGCCTTAATTCTAAAAGTTATGTCTGGAGGAAACCAGGCACCGCTCATCACCTGCCCAATACCATATTAACAGTGAAGCATGTTGGTGACAGCATCATGCTGTGGTGGTATTTTTCTGCAGCAGGGACTGGGAGATTGGTCAGGTTTGAGGGAAAGCGGATTGGAGCAAAGTACAGAGATATCCTCAATGAAAGCCTGCTCCACAGCACTCAGGACTTCAGACTGGGCCAAAGGTTCACCTTCCAACACGACAACGATCTTAAAGACACAGCCAAGACAACACAGAATTGGCTTAGGGACAACTCTGTGAATGTCCTAGAGTGGTCCGGCCAGAGCCCTGTCTTGAACTCTATTGAACATCTCTGGAGAGACCTGAAAATAGCTGTCCACCGATGGTCCCCATCCAACTTGACTGAGCTTGAGAGGATTTGCAAAGAAGAATGGCAGAGAATCCCCCACTCCAGGTTTGCAAAGCTTGTCGCATCATATCCAAAAAGACTCAAGGTTGTGATTGCTGCCAAAGGTGCTTCAACAAAGTACTGAGCAAAGGGTCTGAATACTTAAGCCAATGTGATGTTTCAGTTTTTTCTTTTAATACATTTACAGGCATTTCTAAAATTCGGTTTTCCCTTTGTCATTACAGGGTACTGAGTGTAGAGATATACAATTTTTTTTTTTTGTTTACAAGGAGAGACAAGGCAATAGGTGATCTCAATCTCAGCTGCCATTGACAGCTCTTCCCTACCCCTGTCGATCGGTAACTAACCAGATTAGTTCCCCATCATGTGATCACTTCTCCCCCATCTCATGGGGAAAAACCCTTGCAGTCCCCCCCCTCTTCCTGTAGGGGTGAAATGTTCATCCACTCTAGGGGTAAATGAAAAGGCTGTATTACTGGCCCTAACTCCACTCCGACACTCTCCTCATCACTGTATGGGGAGGAGACAGGCACATTACTTTGGCCGGGTCCTAATAAAGGTATTACGGCTTATGCCTCTAGCCACTGCAAGATACTTTTTTTATGCCTGGAATTAGGCAGTAAAAAAATCTCAATATGATTTGTCATCGAGAATGAACTGGAGGAATATCACGTAAGTTAATGTGTGACGCTGACAAAAATTGCCATAACTTTCCAGTACATGGATAAAGGAATGCACTTACAATACATAAAACCCAACAATGTAGTGACGTACTCTGTAATTCGCACAACAAACGCAAGTTTATGTTTTATCAAGTTTGGAACTTTCTTCCGATACACCTCCATCCTCCGCGATCTGCAGTCATCTCTCATTTTTCTTCTCGAGTTCCGGACAAAGGTTTCCAGACGTTTGAACTTTATTTGCTTCCCAGGCTGAAGCTGAGGAAAAAATAATTCAGTGAATCGTGGGTTTTAGATAGGTGAAAAGGCTGTTATTCAAGCACAGGAAACTAACCCCCCCCAGAACTATTCTGTCTTTATGTGTACACCCAATGTGGGACCTCAACAAGCACTTGTGCGGTGTAGCAAATTTAAACAGCACATTGCATTACATGTATTGGGACATATTTCCCTATATAGATCTTCTATAAAGCAGAAAGTTGCAGACTGTGGGTGGCTCAAGTTTCAGGAGATTCTGGGGCTCCTGTGCAGCAATAGATTGACAAGTCATATACTCATCAAACTTTATTTCACAAAATTGTATTGAATAATCAAGACAATGTTTGACATCAACTGGCAAAACAGTCAAAAAAATGCAACAAGCAGAATACAAAGTAATAAACAGGTAGTAATGAAATGATAAATCCCACAAACAGTATGGTGAATGCCCTAAACAAGCGACTATTATATAAGAGAAGGGG